CTCTGTTCACTTGTTTGAATCTCTTTTTTATATCTCAAAAGAAACAGATTCAATATACAGCACTATTCTCCTTCATTAATATCACAAAGACAGCCCATTCCCAAATGGAATTGTAACCACGGCTATAGAGGTGAGGAAGAGTATTTTGAAACTAGGGCCTCAATGTCACTAAAGACTCCTAAGTCAGGTCTAATCTGAATTTTTAACCATGTGTGGTTCCATTTTGTTAAAGTGCCCATTCGTACTGCTTGTCATATTTTTCTTGCAAAAATATTGCTAAAGATACAAGTAGTTCTTAACAGAAAAGAAGCAATTTTGTTTATTTTCTTTTGCATCTTGTTGTTGCTGTTGTTAAGTGCCATTGAGTTGGTTCCAACTCATAGCAACCCTGGCTAGGGTTTCTGAGGAACATCTGGTGGGTTTGAACAGCTGAACTTGTGGTTCACATACTAGTGCTTATCCTATGGTGGTTAGAAATGACCAATGTTAAATAAAGATTATTTGGTATGAACAGGTATGTAGACATAGTATTAAATATGATTGTAGTGGTTAAGCTATATAACCTTTAGAACTCCCTAATGAAAATGCCCTTTTCACCTTTTCTTCTTTATCTACACACATACATATGCATTGTACTTAGAAAATACTTGAAATTTTAAACTTGTACTAAAAAAATTGTAATCAACCATATCATGTTACCTGAAGACACCTTTTGCTTAAGGAGCCTAACTCTTATAAAAGGTGATCAATCAAGATCCTACTAACTGCAGCTTTGCAAAGGCGGTCCAGTCCAAAAATACTCCAATGCACCTCTGTTTGTAGCTTTTAGCTTTATTAAAATTTGTAATACTAAGTCTTTTGGGACAAATTACAGGGGCTATTTGGCTTTGTGTTCCCATTTTTAAAAAAAACTTTTTCTTTGTTTTTTATATACTCTGTGTTTTCAGTTTTAAACAGATTTGTATTTTTTTCACTACCACAGAGACTAGGACTTACAATGCATATTTTGGGGCACATAATTCAGAGCCCATCTTAGAAATCTTCCTATGGTAGTTAGTAATGGTGCACTGCACTCCTTGTTAGATGAAGGCGAACACATTTTGGTTATTTTCCTAGAGCAGTAAAAAAAAAAAAATTACAGTATTTAAAGCTGTATAACAAGTGTCAGTGTTGACAGCAATTTTTTCACTCTGTAATCTCAGTAGCTGTGGATACAATGGTGGCTACTTCTTTATTTAAACTTCAGTAGACCACAGAAAACTTCTAAGGACTTTTACAACCTAGACAGCACAGTTAACTGAAAAGAATGCTTGATATGGTCACTATTTGAAATCATGTATTAAAAAAATCTTTTTTCCTTCTTGGTTTGAGGCATTATTTCAATGGAACTGTTTTGGACTCCTTGTATGGTGGTGTAGGATACGTACTGGACTGCTAACTGTAAGATCAGTGGTTCAAACCCACCAGCCACACCGTGGAAGCCCTGTACAGGGTTGCTATGAGTCAGAATTGACTTGAGGGCACTTAACAACATCTTGAAAAGAATTAGCAGTGTGGGCTTTTCTTGGTGGCACATTTAGTCATTCATTTGGTTTCATGAAGTGAAAAGTAGGGTAGCATGTAAGCATGTCTGCATACTATGAACCAAGAATGTTCTTATAAATTAGGCTGACAAAATAACAGTACATGGTTCATACACAAAAAAACATAACAAGACACCATATAAATTCCGGTATCTAGCAAGTTGCATACTGTCTGGTGCCCCTGACAGGGCCTGTTGTGGTCAGGTCTCGGATCTCATCCTTGGACTTCTCTTATCTTGTCCCTATAATCCTACTAATTCCAGTCTCATTTTTTATCAGCTCATTGATTTTTCTTGGTGGCTCATTTGAGCAGACCCTACTGCACGTACCTACTTGTCTGTGTAAAATTATATCAATCCCTTATCTTTCTGCAATAAAGCATAAGAATTCGGATGTGTTTAACTTAGGACTTACTAGAGTCTGGCCTTCTTTTCACTGGCTACCAGCAGCCTCATTTTCTTGGGTTATCCATCTCTGTGTTATTTTTAAGTGACTTGTATATTTTGTAGCTTGGGAGAGAGTAGCAGATTATCTCAGCAGCCTTACCAGCTCTTGGATGCGGCTGCTGTTCCAACCATTGCTGGCCTCTTAGATGCCCAGTAACCAGCTCTTTTTTTTTTTCAAATTTATATTGTGAATTGAGTGAAGGTTTACAGAACAGCTCATCAGTTTTACATTCAACAATCATGTATTTTGCTTCATTACATGGTTGCAATCCCCTCCATACACCAACAGTTAACAGCATTTTCCTCTATTCACTTTAACCACTGCATTCCTCCCT